GCCGACACCGCCTCGTCGCCGTTCAAGACACGTTGAATCCGCTCATTTGTTCGCTCGTCACGCCGGCAAAATCAGCGCGCACAGAAAAACAGACGATGTATGATATTATGTCAGGTTCTTGTCAAGGTAGGCCCCGTCGCGACTTGTCTCAAAAGAGCGGTGAAAAACCGGATTATAGGGCCGGTATATCCTCGCCGGAGAGCCGCGAGCACGCACGTTACCAATCGTACGTACGCACGATACGGCTGGGAGACGGCCGATGAACGACGACAGACAATACCGATGGCACTGCACACGCTACCCCGTCTGTCAAAAGTCGGAGCAGTGGATTCGCTCGCTCCAAAGCAAGACTGGTTGCATAAAACGCGGCGGGCGGCTGCGCCAGCCGTTCTCCTCTGACGCCCCCTCTGCGGCCGCGCTGTGCCTGTGCTTGGGGGGGGGCGGGCGTGGCGCCTACCTCTCTTTACACGCAACCTTTTACGCTTAAACGTGTCCTTTACTTCCTTCATTGCCCACTCGCCGAGTATGCATAACGCGCCCTTAAGCTGGGGAGGATATTCCTGAAACCCTCTGCCCGATTGACACTTAGACACCGCCGTCTTCTCTGAAAAACGCGATCGGTAAATTCTTTACCAAGCGAGAATGAATAATCTCCTCATGCTCGTGTTATGCGATAAACCGCTTTCTTCATACTCAAAACGATAGAAATTTCCTTCGTGTTTAATATAAAATAAACGATATTATATAAGATGAATAAGAGTGTTGTATAACTATATACAAAAGCACATTGAGATCATGTTAAATTTTAGTTTAATTTTAAATGCATCGTCTTTAATATGCAATTAACGCATTGTCATTAAAACTTACAAATTAAAAAAAAAAATAATCTTAAGTTGATTTAAAAATCATTAAAGAAACGTCCGCTTACCGCTCATAAATATGTGAGTCCGTCGAAGATATATTCAATTTCTTCCTTTCGTCCGAATACCGATAGCGCTAATATTATACGGCTGTGATACCATCGGTGATAGATAGCATGTTTACCGAGAGCCACAAATTCCGCTTCTTTTTCCAAATATCTTAAATGCTTATGATTGTATCCTCGTAAAACAATTATATTTCCCCTACAAATTTAATTAAAGAATATTTGTACATATTTACCATATATGTTAAGAGAGAAAAAACATTTTAAATTTCTTCTCTCAAGCTATGTTAAAAATGTTATTGGCATTAAATATACTAAAATGATTAGATTATAAAAGAAGAGAGAAAAACTTAAATATTCATTAAATCTCACCCAGATTTTCGCCATTGATTAATACAAGGATATTTTGCCTGATCTGCTACTAATTTATGATAGAGTGCAAGTATACTATGCGTTATCTATAAATAAATGTGTTAAATATTAAAACTGAGTTACAAAATTCATTATTTGAAATCATTAAAAGTTTATAATCACATTTGAGATAAATGTTTGAGAAAAATACATCATATAAATATTTGAAAATTATATTCATGCTTAATATTATAGAAGATTGAAATATATCTTGATAACTTTTTTATCCTTACCGTACTTGCTGCTACTCCTAGTGACATAATAATATCAATATTAAGTACTGAATAAAAGATATATTCATCAGGCGCAGCTTTTTTCCTAAATAGTCTGAATTTTTTGCTCGTTCTATTATATACAATTTCCCATTGATTACTTAATTTCAATATGTTTCTAAAATTAATTGTATAGAATATCATATATACAGTATTAACAAATTTATATTATGTAACATATATATAATGTATCCAGCTTGTGCATTATGTATGCCTATGTTTGTAATTACTGTATACACTATATTACATAAAAAAATATGTAACATTATGCATACATTAATATATAATTTGAAAAAGATAATATAGATTTTTAAAATCTGATACCAAATTACCTGCTTAGTGACTTATACAAAACATCAAGATTATGTTTATTACAATAATATTTTTTGCTACTCCTGTTTTGATTCGTCATTGTCTTGATTTTATTAAATTTATTAAATTGTTTTCATTGATTTGGCTTTTTACTATCTGACCAAAAATGTTTTATATATATTTTATCTTATAAATGCAAACAACATATAATTGCTATATATTTATATTTTTATATAAATTTATTAATACCAATAATTATTCTGACTTATATTCCATCAAAACTATATTAATTATATTAATATAATCTTTCTTTATATGATCGCGTATATATAGGGTAAGGCATCTAAAACAGGCCACCTGAATAATTGTTTTTGGCGAAAGAAAAAAATGCATCAGACCAATTTTGCACCTACAAAAAAACTATTGACATCAGATTATATCCCCCTTGAAACCAAGCAAAGTTGGTCTGATGCATTTTTTTCTATCGCCAAAAACAGCCGAGTTATTCAAGTGGCCTGTTTTAGTTGCCTCACCCTGTATAATTTTGATTTCAAGTTTCTTAAATTTGTAAATAAAATCTAACACACGCACATAACCTGAGCAATAGACTCTCTTATTAATATATATTATGACTTATATTATTATTTATTTTAATCCTTAATAAAGCATATAATACATACTTTTTGATAAGAAATGCAGTATTTTCTAATTTCAACCACATAAATTCCCGGTACAAATAATAAGTTACAGTTTTGAATATACATTGGGCGAAATCTTCTTCATCAACTGCAGTCAACTTTATTGCCCACTTGCACCAAATACTTTATATGACACATGTTAAATCGTACAGAAATTTAAGGAACAAATTTACATCTTCATTTTAGCTGTATTTAATACATTGACATTTTATTATTGACATTAGATAAGAGATGTCCGAGAAAATACAATGTACGCATGCACAGAAGTGTGCTGAGTGCAACCAGAGACAGTTTTCGTAAGGTGTTCTTTTTTTAGCTACAATAGCGCCAACTGGATCCATAGACATAACTTTTCGATACAAATTTATAAATTAAAACAATTAAATAATATAATTAAATAATATTATTTCTTTATTTATTATTAATTTATAATTAATAATTAAGGTAAACCTTCGGAAAACTCACCTGTATGAAATAATGGGTAAGAATACCCAATTCCTACGTATTTTTGCCTCCTGGGAGTCGATTGTGTATCCTTGAGACGAAATGAAAATTACAAAAGTGAACAGATTTACTAGATTTCGACGATGAAATCGTAGATACTCTAGTGAATTTCCTCATTTTTGTAATTTTCACATCGTTTTAAGATACACAATCAACTGAACACGAATATGAAACTTAAAAATGGCGCTTGGGCAAGCAAATCAACCAATCACAGTTATAGCGTTTTCGAATGAACGGGTTAATCCAAACCCGATCAATTAATCACTATATTTTACTATGAATTCAAGTCTTTCATTGGCAGAGACGATGCAATGACGTCATTAATCGCTTTCAGAGCGATTAAACCTGCTACATTCGAAAACGTTATTAAACATTCTTATTACATTGTTAGAATGCTTAATTGTGATTGATCGATTTGTTTACGGCCTTAGTGCCGGCCTACAATAGGCGATTTAAGCCCTAAACCTTATGACTTAACCTCTAAACTATGACGTATTTTTGGCCTTAAACATTTCTCGCGCTGCCTTAAGCCCTAATCTCTAAGCTCTAAAGCTCAGAGCGATTAAACCTGCTACATTCGAAAACGTTATTAAACATTCTTATTACATTGTTAGAATGCTTAATTGTGATTGATCGATTTGTTTACGGCCTTAGTGCCAGCCTACAATAGGCGATTTAAGCCCTAAACCTTATGACTTAGGCCGGTATTCATAGTCCGTTCTTATATTCAAGATCGTCTTAAGTACGATCTTAAGATACTATGCGGCCATTTCATTGGTTGAATGGGATCTTAAGACGACCCAAGACCACACTTAAGACGATCTTGAATATAAGAACGGACTATGAATACCGGCCATACTGGAATAAGCTATCCCATTCTTTGGTTGTCGCCACTATTTCGCCGGGAGAGAGGTGCGTTTGGATTTTAGCATCTCTTTCTAGTATTACCTGTGTTACGTCTCGACAATGCTCTTTTCTTACTATACCTTAGTTAGTGAGAAAAGGATAGCTCTCTATTTTTATAGGGCAACCTGCTTCCACCGGCTATACCCCAGAGACGCCGAGAGCTAGGACTGATCTGGTGGATTCTAGGGGAATGACGTTAGGCACGGAACTAACCTTTATTAGAGTAATTTTACTGGATGTTAATTCTAGGGATATGAGCATGCGCAATTAGATATATTCAATTTTGAGGGTCTTCAGGGTTTTCAAGCAGAGCAATTAGTTGATCTATATCCAAATTGCCGTCTAGAAAATCGGTAATAAGTCTAGCGATTAAAGTTAAGATTTGCTCGCGCATGCGACTGCCGGTCTACAATAGGCGATTTAAGCCCTAAACCTTATGACTTAACCTCTAAACTATGACGTATTTTCGGCCTTAAACATTTCTCGCGCTGCCTTAAGCCCTAATCTCTAAGCCCTAAGCGAGTTGGCCAACTCCCATCTTTTAAAGCTTAGAGCTTGAGGCTAGGATCGATGTAATTTTTCTCTTAAAACAAAGGCTAAATCTTAAATCACCTATTGTAGACCGGCACTTACGATTACTAATAGCGTTTTCGGATGTAGCAGTTTAATCGCATGTTTAATCGCTCTGAGAGCGATTATTGACGTCATTGCATCGTCTCTGCCAATGAAAGGTAGTAAAATATAGTGATTAATTGATCCGAGTTGGATTAACCCGTTCATTCGAAAACGCTATATGTTTCGACCCCCTATATCCAACAGTTTACGAGATACGGACCTCTTTCTGATATCGTCCAAATATGTAACTCATAAACCAGCGGTACTAGGGGAAAAGAGCATAGGACTTTTTTATAGATCTCGTTAAACCGACCCATGTGATGTGCTTTTTCGAAAAAGCAGTGTTCTCATTGGATATCGCCTAACATTGTGCGATAGGCTTTAACCTTCCTTTATGGGTGCGTTCCAGGAGCACGCTTTTAGCGCTATGAGCATGCTTTGTCCTTGTTCAACTTTCCATAAATAACAAAGATAGAACACGCTTTCAGCGCGTAAGCGTGCTTTTGGAACGCAGCCTATATAACATTATTCCTGCCGACCGGCCGACCCTTAAGTAATAAATATAGAAAGTTTGTATATTTGTGTATCTGGTATCTGGCCGTGTCGGCCAGTGTGTCTCACATAAGAAGAATAAGAAGTATTTGTGTATCTCATAACAAAATAATGTGTAAAATGTCAGATATATTTATATAAGTTTAATATAATGTTTACTTAATAATAGATTGAAGAATAACGTTTAACGAATAACGTATCACAATCGATGAGAAGAGATTCAATTTAAATTTAAATTTATTCTCTGACATAAAATTGTAAAATTTTTGTTATTCTCGGACATGGCTTTAAAACACGTAGTAGTGGGTGAGCATACGCTTGTAATTTGTTGATTTATTAGATTTATAATTAGCTAAAGAAGATGTGCATAATCGAATTATGTCACTAATAAGATTATGTAATATTTTCAGGTGGTGGTACTGGCTTCATAGGATCACAGCTGATAAAATCCCTGAACCTCGAGGGTGTATCTTGCACATGTATCTCTCGAATGCCAGGACCGAATAGAATATCATGGGTAAGTCGTGATAACCGATTTTTTAAATTTTCAATGAGAAAGAATCTATTGAAATATGACTGTTGTGACATGTATAGAATGATTTAGAGCGCTATGGTCTGCCAGAGAACACATCAGCCGTTGTCAACATTGCTGGTCAGAATGTACTTGATCCCATGCAAAGGTGGTCGCCGGGCTTCAAACAGAATGTCAGGAATAGCAGGGTGAAAACGACAAAGGCTCTAGCAGATGCCATAAAGAATACCAAGGCTACAGTTTTTGCGACTATATCAGGAGTTGCATATTACAAGCCCAATGGCACTATGTACACAGAAGAAAGCAAATGCGAGCCATATGATTTTCTCTCAAGTAGAATCTCAGTTTTCATTTTTAACACATATGATATTTATATTTGTAAATTAATTATTCATATTGGCAGGACTTACTCACGATTGGGAGGAAGCGGCAAAATTATCAAAAGATTGCAATATTAGACAAGTGACAATAAGGTCCGGAGTTGTGTTAGGAAGAAACGGTGGCATGATCAAGCAAATTTATTTACCTTTCTTTCTTGGTCTGGGTGGACCAATAGGAACTGGAAATCAATATATGCCCTGGATACATATCAGTGACTTAGTTAACATGTTTATATTTGCACTGAAAAATAGTAAAGTGCATGGTATATTAAATGGAGTTGCGCCTCAGGTAATATATAAATATTTTACAATGTAACCTGATTAAAAAGAAAAAAACATTATTTAAACACATTGCTGTTAACAGCTTATAACAAATAAAGAATTTACAAAAGCATTTGCAATAGCAATGAAAAGACCCGCAGCCATACCTGTACCAAGTTTTGTTCTGCAGATATTATTCAGTGAAGATCGAGCAAAAGTTAGTAATGTATATTTAACAATCTCGATAGCGCAATAATTTAATAATTTCATGCTTTTTCTATAGATCATGTTGGAAGGACAGAAAGTTATGCCAAAACGTGTTACAGAGATAGGATTTCTATATCAATATCCGAATATCGAAAATGCATGTAAGCAACTTGTTGAATGAACTACATATATTTTGTACAAAATGTAAGTTATGATGAAAGACTAAATGCCAAATATGCATTACCTAATTAATTATTTTAAAGCTATTATAATAATGGAATGTATAATATATGTTGTTCTCAAATTGTGTTAGTAACTCGTGATGAAACATCAGTTTCATAGTTCTCAAGTTTTAAGATATCCTCTTTATAGTTTACAACATGCGTTATTGTTATTTAGTAATAAATTATTTATTGCAGCACAAAGAATAAATCTTACTTTGTTATACAAATTTATTTATAGCCGACAATTGCGAATTAGATAAAAATCTCAGTAATATCAAGAACACATTTCGTAAACAAAGGAGACTTAATTATGGTCTTTATTAACCTTTATCAGATTAGGAATGGCAGAAATATTTCTGGTATACTTAATATAGTCGAGACGTTTTGAATTTTCTGTATAAAGACCTCTTTTCAAACTCGCCGATTGATAGCTATTAAGTCGTACTCCACACATTAGAGTTGGATAGCTTAGATTCTGCTGCACTCGATGATATGCCTTGCTATTGTTTAAAATATTGTCCGAAACAGTAAGCTCATTGGTAATAGGTAGACACGTTCTTGGTAAATTTGACAAATACTCTTCAGAATCGGAAGGGAGTAATAATCGATTCGAAGAACCAATCAAGGAAAAATCGAGATTTTCGAGCCGACCCATGTTCAAGAAATAGTTGATTTCTTTCCTTAGGCTTTGTATTTCCTTTCTCGTTAAGCCTCTCATACTAAGCGTGATTGTCTGCCCGTTTCTGTGGAGGATAAAGAGACCCATGTCGGTAGAGACACCAACGTGTCGGATGTCGGTGAGTCTCATCAGAGAGATTTCACCCGAATTACCCGAACATAATTTATCGCTCCAAATAGCTTTTTGGACAATAGCTTTATTCTCCTGCTTGTACAATATCAAGTCTTCCCATTCTCCGAAACTGTCTAGTCCGAACATAATCTCGCCCAAAAGTAAGATAATTAAGAAGTAGATGTTGCTCGTAAGGCGGCTAAATATGCCGATAAAAATTATCACCGATACTGAAAAATGTAATCCACGTATATAACCGATTATATCGATCAATTCATAGATTAAACAAGTTTTATATATTAAATTTGAAATGTAGCAATTTAAAATAGTCTCTTACAGGCAAGCAATAACCATGCAGTGCATCCTGGCCTTCGAGATACGTGTAATTTATTTTTATCCAAAACCTTGAGCTGAGGTTTCGCAATCAAAATCATTTTGTAATCGCACGAATTAACATTACGGGAAGAATTTTGACGGATGTCCCGTAATTACGCAAAATCGAGATAAGACGAGTGAGAGAATTTTGACATACGACGCGAATCGCCGAAGATTAATTATGATTAATTGAAACTGCGCCGCGCATTTGTTATTTTCATGATGATATCAATTATCAATCAACGGAGTAAAATATAGTTTAGGGGTAGTTTATCGTTAAAAAACGCACTCTTGAATCAAAAATTTTAATAGAACGGAAATAGCACAAATTATTTTACTCGGAAAATCGAAAAGAATAAAATATGCGGACGGAGCAATAAAATAATTCACAATAATAATAAATCGCAATTAACGACGCGATTTACGAAATTCTGCGTTTTTAATCTAATTCACTTAGAAATATTGTATACTTGCAAATGAATTTTATATATATATATATCTATTTTCAATTGTGTATGTCATTTGCAAGTATACAATATTTATATATATATATAATATATATATATAATATATATATATAATATATATATATAATATATATATATAATATATATATATAATATATATATATAATATATATATATAATATATATATATAATATATATATATAATATATATATATAATATATATATATAATATATATATATAATATTATACAATATTTATATATATATATATATATATATAATATATATATATAATATATATATATATATAATATATTTTTGTATAAATATTGCTCAATTACAGCTTTTTTGTGCTTAAATTTATCTAATCTGTGAAATTTTGATCATTTTATGACACGATTCAAAATGTTATTGTTATATGTTATTCATGGAAAAGAAAAAATTCATGGAATACTTTAATATTCTATCGCTACTTTAATATTCTATGTAATTATTTATAGCTTTCTAGAAACGTCTGCGAGATGTCGCTATTTGTACAACTTGCCGTTAGGAATGACGTGTGGTTTTGTGTAGGAGTAGTCGATAGTCATATCGAGACGATGAGGTATGTAAATATATATATATAGATTTTTAATAAATTTCTTGTCGGTAGTGCCAGAAAAAGACTATTTTTAACAAAATATATAATTGCAATCAACAATAATAACATTAATATAATCTTTTTAATAATTATTTCACTTATATATTTAAAAAATTAGGTAATGGGTGGTTGCAGGTTAACATATTAATCGCCTTTCTACAGAACGCAATGAAGTTAACAGCGAATGTTTTTCATGAAATTTGCCATCGATAATAAACTTTGCTGTCTGACTAATTGTAGTTAAATAATATTAATTTTTATCTTATAGAATTGATAGAATTGAAATAAGAGACCGCAGAATGCATCGATTAAAAATGGAGAGAAATCGTATCTCAAAAACTTATATGTCACGTATAATATAAAAACGTTAACATTCCGTACAATATACACCCACACACATACGAAAAAAATATCGAAGGTCGTGAGACCGTCTCGTCAGGCAAAAATTACGCTTCGCAAAACCGTTATCGTGGCCGGCGAGAAAAATGACCACTGATAAGGACACACGTGTTCCAAAGACGAAACGATCGTTCCCTCGCGCGGCAACGTAATCGTCGTCAACACGCTTCCATATAATACATATACGTATAAGTATACCGGTGCAATAGTACTTAACGAGCATTCTCACCCGAGCTCAGTTTTCAGTCTTACCGTTTTGCGGTTCTTCCTCTTACGGTACCGAAAACAAATTACTTAGTTGTACGATTGCGATGAGATATTAACGGGCATTTTATTTATCATATTTTATATAGAATTAACACATCTTTAATTTTATATTCTGAAAACTTTTTATACAGAGTTTATTCCCATTCTTTCTTAGACATATATACACCTTCTTGTTCGTCTCATAATCGTATTAATGTAATCAATAACATATTTTAGTGAAAACGGGGATGCGAAAAGTTTGCACGAGAGAGATTGCAATTTATGAAAATTATGAACAAATTTATCAATATCATTGATTTTGATATTTATTATCTCCCCATATATCATCATTGTGTCTGCAGTATTTGTCACACACAAAGAGAAATATAGATATAATACCTCATATACCGTGCAACTTGTATTATCTCAAATCGACGATCTTTTAATCTTTTTTTTATTTAATAAGATTAATTATAAGAAAATATTACACTAGTTTCGAGTAAAATTTATTATAAGAGGATTTATACAATTTTAGCAATAATAAAAATAACAATGTTTATGACATCATTAAATTTTTTTAGTCATATTTTTTTAATTTTTACATCTGAATATCTAGTTACCAAAAAAATCTATTTTTTTTTTTATACGAGATTGAATATCCTCTTGCGAACTTAAATACGCGTGAATCATGACTCGTCGTATAAGGCTGTGCTCGGCGAAACTGTGCCATCGTCAGAAAATATTTACAATGTAAAGTGTTGTTCGAACACAAGTGCTGCATCACGGTGCGATATCTACGTGCTTTTTTCGCAGTTCGTCGCTCACGTATCAGAGAGCGATTAAAGCGTACGCGATTATCAAGCAAAAAGTGCTTTCGATATCACGAAATCTACTTCGATACGGTACGCGCGTACATTGTTATACCAGGTGTGATTATCCGTTTTATCCGATTTTAAATTCGGGAATAGTCGCGTTCTACATGTGCTCTAAATCGCATGGTAATCGCACGATATTTTTTATCTTTGATTTTACATTTCATAAATTTTTATGCTGGAATATTATTCTACGATGTATCTTTGTGCAAAAAAAAAACATATACTATATATTTTATAACATTGTTAACACTATATCATTACACAAAATCACTTTATAATGATATTTGAAAAATGTGATAACACCAGGATTCAACCTTCACAGCAGCGCGATCTTTCTCCGATTAAAATATCACATTGGGTCGCAAATATGCAAATATCAGTGGCAGCGCGATGTTTTAATCACTCTCACAAATCTTATGGCGAGCACGCCGCTATCTGTTAAACGCGTGACAATTCCGAAGGTAGCAATAAATTAAACCGCTCGAACGAAATCTCATATATTCATCGCCTACGTTTTTCCGTTTCGCCTTGTAAGTCCTACCGTGCGTTACGGACGGTTGATTTCTGTCATTTTTTTACATTTAATTAGAATTAGTAAGATAGAAGTTTATCAAGTAGTAGAATTGAATTTTATTAACTTTAACCTAAAGTTAATTGCAACGTTACACATCTTTATAATTTGGCTCTATTTTATTTAAATAAAAACTAATGATTTTATTTCAAATATTTGCAAATTAAAATAAATTTTAATTTTACAACACACGCATACAGTTTCCATTTGCAAAGAAATATGGAATAGAATTATAAAATTACCTCGATTGCTATATATAATTATTTCGAATGTACAGTTGCAGGATTAATTTGCTTCATATCTATGATCTTGTCCGGCGCGATAAGGACAGAGGATAAAGTCGCGCGGCTAATCGACGACGCTACCGTGTGTGAGCGTGAACGTGAAATCCGATATTTAAACGAACGCAATAAACTGGAAGGACCTCACGATTTGCATCATAACGACCTCGCGTTAAAATCACGGTCGTCAATAGCGCGCGCAGATTTTGCAAAAATATTCGCCGCGCGAAAAGGTCAAACGTGCATCGTGAGAGGACCGCGCATAGAGAACGAGCGACACTTCGCCGCAATAAAACGGACAATAGACGGACAGAAGTGGGAAAGTGAAGGTATTCGTCGCGCACACACTCTCTGCTCCCGGGATCATTATATGCGCCCGGGATAAATCGGGCTTACATCATAATCGCGTGCGGCGACTTATTACGGCCCGTCCTATCGTTCATTTCGCGATTACTTTCCCGATCCATATTCATGAGCGACCTTCCGTGTCGAAGGTGGCTTTATTACGCCATCGAGAACCTGGGTCTCTTCTCCGATTGACGGAGTTTAGAAAGGGAGATCTCTCCTGGATAGAAAAAAGTTTATATTCATTTCTCGTCATAACTTTGCTACGTAATGATTCTGCGATGTATCATAAGTGTATTACGAATAAAAATATTCAGGTGATATAAAAATAATAGTCTAATACGCAATATTAATAATCTATTGTAGAATATACAAAAAATTATTCGTTATTTTAGAATTTTTTAAAATCTGTAATGCAAGGGGTTCATTTATATAAAAAAATATGTTGAAAACTTATTCATTTTTATTTCTAACAATAAGCGCAATGATTGGCTCGAGTTTCAAGGAACATTTTGTATAAACATATATGCCGTAATATAGCTATAGCAAAAAATAATCAATTAATGCACTAATTATCGTGTTAAACCGACATGAATGTCTATTTTTAAAAATTTTCATTGATATATGAACCCAGCCAGAAAGTAGCATACATACAGTAGATATAAATATTATCGCATCAGGCTATCTAAATGATTAGTGTGTTTAAATCATGCTTTTAATTACGACGAGTTTAACATTCATGCTATCTCTTTCTTTACTTTACATTTACTTCATCCGTATCTCATATTTTTAGGCATTTTTATCTTGCTATTAAAATCTCGAAACTGTAATATCGTAAGTCATAATACACACATACATTTGCTTCTTTTTATAGCAACCGCAAATGAGTTTATTGTTCTTCAAAGATAAAACCATACAGATTTAATTTCTAGATTTGATTCAATGAAATCTTACTATTCAATAGCTATTTTAAATTTTACATAACTAACATTAGTTAAGCTTTGTGACTTTTGCTTGATGCTGCAATTGGGATAAAAGTAGATAAAATAAAATTAATTTATAATATTTGAACTTTATAGGAAGCATATAAAATTAAAAAGTGAAACAAACTCGAATATTTTGTGTAACTATCTTTAAAAAATTAGACGGAAAAAGCCTCGTAACAGCAATATCAGAATTTTAATCATGATCATAAAAAATATCGAAGTCCTTCATTTATTTTTTAGCATATAGTTCTTGCCAATCCATATTAACATGTAAGGAACATAAGATTACTCCTATGTCGGAATTATATTATACATATACAATAAAAAAGTACCCCGACTGGAAACCAACCGTCTAATTACACGGATATGCCATCTATATCGGATAATTAATGAATATTACGATTAATTGCATAGTGCCTATAAGCTCGGCTACCTAGAGACGAGCATCGAAACTT